ATTAACACACAGAATAAACCCACAGGTACACAGCCGCTAAGTAGTAAACAAAAGACCACATGTTGGTCTCACCTCTGACCCAGGTGATTACGCCCTCAAACAGGGAGCACCTGAGAAAAATAATATTTAAAAAATTTCATTGGTTCTTGCTGGGCATTTAAATTGAGGGCTACGAGCAGCCATTGGTTAATTAGTGGCATGAGACCTGTAATGGTGCGCAGACCCCGGAGAATGAATATGCATGCAAGAAATGGCGCCCTCACAGCTGAAAGTATATCTGTAGCCCAAATTGAGACTGCTTGCTTCATCTGTGTAATTTTCACACAAATCCTGTTTTACCTCAATAATCACTACCTACCTGTGTATAACACTGTTGTCATGGAGATATTCTACACCTTTCAGTATTTGTTTTGTATATCGACAGAAGACAGGTTCTTCGAGTGCGCCAAACCTCGCCAATAACTGCGCTATAGATCCACCGGGAACAAACTGCATGAAGATATTTACTACATTGTCTTCTAAGCAAGTGCCGAGGAATCTGAATAAAGTATAATTATTTTATGAGAAGCTGAGGCAAACTAAAATGACTGCCTTGGAGTGAATTATCAAACAAAATATATTTTACAGTGAAAATGTTTCATTTTCAAACTTACCCGACAATGTTTTCATGCTGAAGGGTCTTCAGTAAGTCAACTTCTTCTTGGAGTTTCTCATACTGTTTCTCTGCATCTTCTTTGTCACGGACACTCAGTTCAACTTGTTTGACAGCAATCAGCTGACCGGTGTTAGTCAATCCACAGGATACCTAAACAACAACAGTGTGGTCAAATTATAAATCATGGCAGCTCACCCCTAAATCTACAAGCAAACACCTGTACAATATTTATTTTAAACAATTTGAGGTATAAAAAATAAATAAATCTTTGTGTACAGTACAATTTCATTTGTGACATTGTTCAACACATTATGCATGACCCCTTAAGGTCACACATCCTGGAACTTTCTGGAGACATTGTTGCTCAGTGACCATAACAGCATAATTTCCAAATTTATGCTTCAAGTTTTGCCATGTTTCACTGTTAATAAACTTCAATCACAGGTAACCTCAGAAAGAACCAAGATGTGTGACCTTTAGAAGGTCATGCACAGGGGCTCTCATAAGACTTTTCAATTTTATGAAATTTGCCAACTTACTGTTCCATAAGCTCCCCTGCCGAGCACATGTCCCTTCTTCCAATGTATCAACTGGTCATCAAAATCAGCATGAGAATTTGTGGAACAGACGCTACGAATACTACTAGCAGCAGATCTTCTTTTTCCAAGTGAACTTGTAATTGTCTGATAGACAGAAAAAACAAAGTCAATCACAATGAACCATGTTATCTTTCTAAAAAAAAAAATGTAAAACTGACAGTGAGAACAAAGAGCAATAGAGTCATATCTTGACTGAAATGAGAGTACATACTCACCCTTGTTTCAGACTTGATTGTGTCTGTTAACGTTCTGTCTGATAAATCACTGGCCTCTGATTGGACAAGACTGTTAGAAAAAAATTCTGATGCTAATGAGTTCATAGAATCGATAGATTCAAAATCCTTCTGGCTTGGTTTGTGTAATTTAACTGCCGGGGAGTGATCACCACCTTCCTGAGTTTGACTCAATAATAGTGTCTGTAACTTTTCAACATTCATTGCTGACAGTTTTGCTGCATGTTGTTCAGGCGATAGAACTTCATCACTGCCAAAGACATCATCATCACCAAGCTCATCTACATTATCTTGCAAAGGTTCATTTTTAGCAGTGGTGCTTTTAACAACTTTCTGTTCATTGATAGATGATTTATTCATAGTTTTTTCACTCATTGGTCTTGATTCACTACCATCTTTCTTTGGTAATGGTGGTTTCTGAACCACTTTTGTTGAAACATCCTTCAAATCAGTCTTCTTCGATTCAGCAGATGACTTGATTACAGATACCTTTTGTTTCACCTCCTCATTTGTAGCTCTTTCAACCTTTGTATTATTTGTCTCTGGTTTGCTAACAGATTTTTTCTCTGCATTTTCTGTCATCAGTTTTATTGGAGCTTCACTCGTTGATTTCTTCTGCAAACTTTCTGAAGTCTTCTTTTTCACAATCTCATCCACTGGTTTCTCTTTCAGGACAACATTTTTTGGTTGCTGAGTAACAGGTTTTGGTTGCTGAGTAACAGTTCCCTGTCTCCTGCTTTCAGCAGACTTTTGTGCTGTAACTTTATTTTCAGGAGTAGATGTTGGCACTTTTGGCTGTGGTTTCTTGGCAGAAGCTGTCTTTGTATTTTTCACCTTTTCTGAATTTTTGTTTTGCAATTCATTCTTTCCCATTTCTTTTTGGATTTTCTCTGTAACATTTGATGATGTACATTTAACTTTCTTTTTATCTTCAGTTACTTTCACTTCAGCATTTTCTTTGACATTTACTTCAGCTTCATCGGGGAGCCAATCAGTTTCAAACTTGACTTCATCTTCCATGTTCTCACATCCTTCAATGTCATCGCTACAGATGGACGACACCTCTGAATTTTGATCAGGTATGCAAAAAACCTTCATCAAATCGGGATTAGTCTCATAAGAAGCATCAGAGATGAAACTTGATGCATCATCGCTTTCGTCTGTGAATCCACACCGTGGGGTCAGTTCACCCCCACCATCACCAGCCGGGGCTTCCAAAACCGGGACTGTCTTTTTATTCCTAGCACTTTTTGAGCTTGACGTATTACTTCCAATAGTACGTCGAATTTCATGAATAATTTTATCGTTAATGGACATATTCATTGAATCATACTGATCCTCTGCAGTTCCTTTTATTGAATCGGCAAATTCTTTGATAGTATCAAAAGTTTCTGGCATTTTATCGTGAATAACATTATCATTGTTTATTATTCTCGGTGTAATGTCCTCGCTCTGCATGTCCATATCAGAATCTGACGAATCAAACATCATTAGGTCCTTGTTTATTATCACATCATCAGTTTCATTCCTCCCAGTTTTAATCTGCCATCCTTGTCCCGTTATAAAAGCTGTAGATTTCACATCTTCATCGCTTATAATCTGAGCACTTTCCTTCCGACCTTTTGTCACAACATCAGGATTTTGCTTAGCTGATTTTGGCTTACTCCTCCCCTTTGCACTTTTTGGTTTATCTACTTTTGCACTTTTTTCTCGATTCTTACCACTTGTTGGTTTTGGAGGAACTTTATTTGCTGAAACTTTCCGAACTTTTCCAGCTGAGGCTGGAGTCTTCGGATTCTGATTAGATTTTTGAGCTGATCCCTGGGCACAGGCTCTCTTTGCACTACTTTTTCTGTTAGCACTTCCTGGAGTGGTCTCCTTGGCACTTGAGATTCTGCGTTGATGGGAAACATTTTTAGGCAGTGCAAGTTGGGCTCTTTTTCCAGCTGAGTTTTCCCTAGATTCAGGAACTTCGACTTTAAGTTTCACTTGTTCTTGCTTTTCATTTGCAACTTTCTGCATATAGTTTGATTCCATCATATCATAGATGACTGGCGTGACCTCAGCAGAGTTTTTAGAACATGGTGACAAAGTTTCAGCTGCTTTACGGAGCAATTCCTCAGTTTTGGGTTTAGATGCAAATTTATTTTCCACACCACCAGATTTGACAGACAATTTAGAGTCCGAACTTTGAGAATCATTTCTGAGCTTACTAGCATTATTGTCCATTTTCAATGTCTGTGTATTCACCATATCAATTTTTGTAGCTGTCATATCTTTACTACTGGCTGGAGCTTCTTTCTGTTGTTCTTTAACTGGTATTTTTTCTTGTTTCTCCAGTAACATTGATACCATTCCCTCAGCTGCTCCACCGCACTCTGCTTTTACAGCATGATGATTCTCAGAAACTTTCAGACCATTATCTACGATGTTCTCTTTTTCACTACTTTTTCTCTCTTTAGTCTGTGCATCTTTAAGGCATAACTTTTCATCAGTGTTCTTGGCACATTTATTTATCTGGCTTTCCTTAGACTTGGCTAACACATCTTTTGTCTGTGAACTCTCAACATCTTTCTTCGTTTCTGCCTTCTTAACTACAGTTGCATGTTTAGCCGGCTCGCTTGTCACAGCGCCTGATTTGCTATCCAAGGTGGCAGCACCTGCGGGTCTGAGGTTACCATCACTCTGCATCAGCTGTGCCAATGCTCGAGGAGTAAATGTATCCTGAGGTGTGAGAGTACCTTTCTTATCTGTAGATGCTTTAGTCTCTGCTATGGCACCATTGTACTTCTGCCCTGATTTAGCAGCATCTTGCATATGTGTATTTGCTGATTTAGCCACAGTAACTTTACCCCCAGACTTCACACTTGACTGATTTGCTACAGATTTTGAAGCAAGTGAGGTACCCGCAGACCTGTTAGTAGGCTGTGAGGGACTTTTACCAGCACTTTCTTTTCTAGATGAATTACCCATGCTGCATTGCTTAGCAGGTTCATTATTCTTACTTGGCTGTCCAGCTGATCTAGGGGTATTCATACTCTGTGTTGCAGGGGTTTTAGAAACTTCTTTATTGGACAACCTAGAAAAAAGCAATCTTGTTGTGGGTTCCGTTTTTTCTCGTGATATAGCAGCATCCTTTTTTTCAGAAACTTTAGTGGTCGGCTGGTTACTTGGTTTGTTAACAGTAGTGACACTTGTATTTTTGTTGTTGTCTGTCACATTCGTTTGGTTTGTTCCTAAATGTACAGTCTTTGGGGTCGTCGCTGTTTTGGCCTGAGGAGCAGTTGATGCTGGAAGAGCTTGTTGCTGAACAACTGTTACCTGAGCATGTGGCTTAGAAACTACAGTCTGTTTATTAGCAGTCAACGGTTTTGATGAAACAACCTGAGTGATTTTATTACTACTGTCATTGTTGCTGACTGGAGTTTGTGAAGATATCAGGCTCTCCCGTTTATGAACAGATTCTAATACCATGGGCCCACTATTGCTTAATCGCCTCACAACTCTCTGTGAATTGTTATCTCCATCACTTGGGCGTCTATTAACAGTGATCTTTCCTTGCCCCAGACTAGAAGCACCCCGATTTATGACTGGTTCAGAACTGGAAAGGTTTTTTTCAACATCATTTTTCTTAACAACAGACGTTTTTACAAGTGTTGTGTGATTTGCACTTTTCTTTACAGGTGACATTGGCACTGGTCGCTCCAATATCCGAGTAGCAGCAGGCGTCATCTGATTCTTTTTCAAATGAGTTGGAGAACTTGGATCGGCTATGTCAAAAGAACTCTGTGGGCTTGGCGAGGTTGACATGGAACTGATACTTGAACTATAACTGTTGCTCTCATTTGATCTTACTGATATTGGTTCCTGCTGATCCGTTTTGACACGTGACGATTCAATATTAAAATGAGTTGTCTTATCTAGGATGGATTTCGACCTTGATAATTTCAAGTGATTCGGTACCGCTAATTTCACTTGATCATTTTGATTTTTCGATACTCCATTACTGTGTACACCGTTCGTTGAATGTTCTGCTTCGCCTTCAACGTCCTCTGGATGAAATGACAACACAGGGTCATGAGCAACGGTCTCGACTTTTTGACTGAAAGCTGGGGACGGTGGAAGCAAAGACTTGGAATTTGGATACATGGAGTTGCTAATGAATGAAACTTCTGTACTCAGACGGACGTTCATTTGACCTAAAACAAAAGAATGAAAAAGAACTTCATTAACCATGTTGTTTTATTTATTTCATTAGTGCTTTATTATTAGATCCAGTATTTCACTTTTACCAGTAGTATATGAAAGCAAGAGTAGATAAATAAGAATCTGTTAGCACTGTAAACTTATTGAAAGAAACATTTTCACAAGTTTCAGCGGACAGTGCCAATCATGACAATTGTAGAGCAGTGAAAATCTCACTACAGACACCGAGTCACAGAGACTTTTACAAAATTTAAATGCTATTTATTCAACATGAGCATGTGAAAGATGGTAAAAAAAGACTTTGGTGATCAAAGGGATATGCATTGAATATCACCATGTAAAAGTTAATTAAGATTAGGGTATCCAAGGGTTTAATATGTAATGAACATCACACGTGAATCACACTGTGTACTGTGGCGCTATTGGTCAGAAATGCACGCAATTGACGTGTATGGTATGGGATCACTTTCAAATTGTTAGATTTGATTCTTGAGAAAGTTGCATAACCCTTATGCTAAAGCCTTGACAATACACACACTGTAAAGGCCAAAGGTCAAAACTCTTACCTAAATCAAGAATAACAGACGTGGACTTTCCCTCCTGAATAGTGTATGGTATATTCAATCGTGGGTTATCAGTAGGTTGTCCTGACGATAGCAAAGGAGACGGTGTTGTGGAATCATCTCGACTGTCTTGAGTAGACTGGGATTTGGAAAATCTTTTACCTAAAAAAATAAAGAACAAATGAGAAATTTTTGAACAACAGCAAAATCCTGATATTGCTTTTTTATTTTTTACAAAATGTGTGTGCACATGATACAAGAATGGTGGTGCAGGTTTCTAAGAAATCATACCAAACTTTTATACAGATATTAAAAATACATTAACACTGTACAATCTAGAAAGAGTTGCAGAAAAAATATATTTACAGCAACATCTCCACAAGTTTCACAGTTTTTTTTGCTTTTCAGCTCAGGCAGATTTTACTCTGCTCTCCTGAGAGTTATTACACTAGCCATACCTTTCCTGATGTAATTATTGCAAGCTTCAGTGACGTCTGTAAAGCTTGGATTCGATAAAGACCGCCTGGTTCTCTGTGGATACGTCCTGAGGTAAGATGATGATTCAGTGTCGGAATAACTCTGATAAACAGACTTCTTTGGACCTTGGATGACTCTTTGTAATCTGGCAAGAAAATCAGAAAATTTAACTTAATTTAGAAATTTAAGTTATATCAGTGCACAAATGTTCCAGCATCTTGGATTTCATATACAGAAAATATTTGCATAATCACCCATAATACATTATGTTCTAAAATTTAATCCAGCCATGAACTCGCACCGACAAATGAAGTATTATATTTTTGACTATTATATATATTTTACTGAGAAAATCAAAATCTGTAAAAGCTACTCAAAAGTTGAATCACAAAAAACATGTATTTACTTTATTTCTTGCATATTGTCATCCAGTTCTAGCCCCAATACAGTGACAGGTATGGGACTATACTGTGGAGTGGACTTCCTAGTTGGGTCAGCTGAAAAAAAAACAATCATACACTCATTTATATGTACTTCACTCAACATACGTAATACCGTACATGAAAATTCATTTTTTGTTCTGGTCAAAACAAATATTCAAAATATATCTGGTTGTCATATGCATCAGTTGAAATCTTTAAAACATAAAAACATGATGACTTTTCAATAAATGTATTAGTATAGAAATTTCATAATTTTATACCAGATACTTACACAATTTCTGTGTCAGCCTCTGATGTGCCCTAACTTTACTGCTTTTAATCACGTCTTCCTCAAAACTCCTATTCAGGGCCCGATATTTCTTATCACCAATTTGTCTCACAGTGCTTTTATTGGGGGAGCCAGAGGATACAAATGGACTAATTGGTGGCATTTTTTCAGGTGAGTTAGGGGATCCAGGTGGTATCACAGGTGTGGATGTCATAGGTGTTATTACCATACTGTTTCTGGAGTCACAACGAGAGCAGGCACGTGACATCCCTAGCTTCCTGGGATTTGGCCTAATAATGAAATCATAAATATTAAAGTGAGGATTATACAGAAAATATATCACAATCAATTCATATTCACTTATTTACACCAGGTTTTTTTTGACGTTTATTAGTTCTCGTAATATAAATCAGCATAATTTTAAAATATTTTTTCAAATATTTTGAGACTTGTAGCCAATATGACATTATTTGCATCAAATTTAACAAAGAAATTGTATAAAAAATAAAAAAAAATAAAAAAAAATGTGCAAAATGATGCACCTACATTTTAGTGGGAAGAACTATGTCTAATATTTTAATCATAGACATAGTGAAAACATAGTGAAACTATCACAATCTTGCCTAATCAGTATACCAAACATGGACTAATGTGTGCTAAAAACAATACTGACAATTATGATAAATGACTGTTTTCTTTTCTGGCTATGAACACAAGGCATGGATGTAAATAAAAGTTACTTTACCTTGGTGTAAATCTACCATTCTCAATCTCCTGCATCATCTTTATTTCTGCTCTGTTTGCCTTCTCTGCATCACTCAGCCTCTTAATCATCTTTTTCTCTGTAATTGAGATCAAATTAAATAATTATAATCAATAAAGCATAAAATCAATCTTGAAAGGGATCATCTAAATTGTTAGTTGTTCATATCTGCTGATGATAGTTGACCGACGGTTTCAGAGAAGAGTACAAATAACAGCACTTACTCCCTGGAGATATGTTTCTTGGTGAAGGATAGTCACCATGAGGTAGATCCTACAATATAAAAGTTATAATTTCAATGAGAAATATGTCAACCACAATTGACAGACATTGTAATTATAGTCACTTCATTATCAGTAGACGGTAATAATACTGTAAAGCACTATGTTTTCACCGAAGGGATGAATTAGTGAAAAATAAACTTTATACAAAATAGGCAAAAATAATTCAAGGTAAAATAAGATATTTTACTGTAACTGTGTTTTGTCTACACTGAAGATAACTACAAATTCAGACATGCAATTAGTTCAACCTGGCTCAAGACTTGAATAATTCACTTAGCTCTTCCAGCTATTGGTCATACTCCCTACAAATGTGAAGCTAGTATTATAAAATGGTGTCAACTTTTGATTTAATCCAGAATAATATTGCAAGCAAGTAAACTTACATCAACATCGAAGATAACCTCCGACATTCTTTTCCTTGTGAATTGTGTAGGCGTTGGTGATAGTATAAAACTTTCATCAAATGACTGTAACATGGACGCTCTGGACGGGGGTTTGACTGGACTCAAACTGATAGAATCTCGCTTTGCTTCAGCAGCCTCAGCCCATGCTTCTGGAAATAAGAAATTAAGAAGTTTTTTATATCTATGCAGCCAACAATATTTTGTCATTTAAAAATGAAAAAAATAAATTAATAAAAATTACATAAAAAGTCGGTAGTTTCAAATTATCGAATCTTCTAAACCAAGGCCCAGAAAATTTCAAAAAGTTTCTTATCAGCAAGACATTATATTTCATAGTAGTAAAGGCTCAGAAAAAAATGTTTTTAGTCAATTTGTTTTCCAAATTTTAAGCAGTCCCACTCTTTAACAGTTTTGCATCTAATTTGATTTTTTATGCAAATTTGATTTTTCTTATTACAAATAAAAATTTCTGACGTCAAAAAAAAATGTTTTGTATTGTGTCTAAATAATATAATACACATGATAACAGCAGTTTGACTCACCTTTTAATGTGGATTTCACTTTTTTAGTTTTAGCTACATCAACTGCTGTATTACCACTATCATCTACCAGTAATATATCAGCTCCATGTTCCAGTAATGTTGTAGCCACTTTTTCATGACCTGATGAAGCCTGTGTACATAAAGACAAGATCACTTAAAGGCCCAGTATACTATAAATACGCTTCTAAACAATAGGGATTATTTCCTTGCTTGTCACGCTGTAGTAAACAGCTCCAGCCAAGCTCTGGTAAAAACGCGTTTTCTCAAACTTACAGGTTGATTATGTCGTGCCAAATTGGATGCATGTGACTATGAATATCACAGAAGTGACTGTGTGTAGTATTTATGACAATAAATAGTGTACAAGCTGAGATTTTGGCAGATAAAAGTCAAAAACACGAACCGGGGAAAGAGACGCGCTACTACCAGTAATCTTGAATAGTTAACTACTGTCAATCAAAGTCATGTGATGTTGGACTGCTGAAACAGGATGCGTCATAGGTATGGGCTATGCAAGTGATTAACAACACTCATTAGCATAGCCACACCTCTAATTCACACTTGCCACAATGGAATAAGAATAGAGAACACTATTCGTAATTTATATTTTGACAGTCATACAAAGCGTGATATCATTATGTATTTAATACAGGTCCCATGTGAGGCAAACATGTAAAACACACATATTTTGTACACAAAATGTGCTTTGTAAATGGTGTGGCAAGTTAAAGTAAATTTGTCTTAGTCACTGAAATCAAAAACACAAATGGCAATCATAACTCACCGAAACATGTAGTGGTGTGGCACCTGCGAAACCTCTACAGTTAACGTCGGCTCCACGACCAATTAACGCTACTACAATATTAGCCTGACCACTTTGAGAAGCTGAATGGATGGGCGCAAAAGAACGAGTATCTCGCGAATCTGAAATGAACAAATATATTAAAATAATAAACAAAAACATTTCTTGAAATACTAATGGAAACAAGTGAGTAAAAGAACTTGTAAGGTCGCAAGTTCGGGTTGTGTCTACAGAGCGCGTCTTTTTGAAAAAGATGATGACCTTGCTCATTTCAATCACTGTTGTGTCTTTGTATACCATAAATGTGTTAATTTTACGTTATTTTCTATGATTGTTTTGTTAATTAATGATCAAATTGTCATTGGGAACATTCCCTGAATACGAAACAATTACTCACAATTAGCAAAAAAATTGTCTGACTCACCTACAACGGGACAGTCCTTTAGCAACATAGAAACCATTCCTCCTGATATTTTACTACGTGATCCAGATAAAAAATGTACTGGAGTCTTGCCTTCTAAATCAGATGCCGACACATCTCTGAAAGTTCAAAATGTCAAATTAAATCATCATAGTCAACGCACAATGTATGTGTTGGATATTGCAACTATATATAAAATACACTGCTTTCGATATACATACATCTGTAATGTATATTTTTGAAAACTGAACCCTGATTTTGTAGCAAACATACAAAATTCAAGTCAATTTTCAGTTTTTATCCAAAAAAAATTTTTTTTTTGTTGTTCCAGACTTCTGAAGGAAAGTGCAGACTATAAAGGAGACTATGTGATGAAAAGAAGGCACTGGTGGTGAAAAGATCACTATAGTTTCTGTTAGGTCATTTGCATAATGATGGGGTACATCACCTTCTCATGAGCAAATTCCCATTTACACTCCTCGATAGACATTAAAAAGTGACTGAAATAGTTAAAGAGTTACTGTAGAATACTTTATTTTCGCTTGGAATTTATTTTCGCTATTTTCGCTGAAGGGATGATTCAGTGAAAATAAAATCCAGCAAATATACTTTTTTTTCATATATTTCATATTCAACTCATCAAAAATCAGTGAAAATAAATTACATACAAAACGCCCAAAAAGCCTTTTCAGCGAAAATTAATTCCAGCAAAAATAAAGTATTCCACAGTATTTGACAAGAAGTCACGAATAAATGGATGGTTGCGGGACAATGCATGACCTCAATAACAAAACGACCAATAGTACACTGTTCCAATAATCTAAACTGAAATACAACAAAATATTTATACGTACGCTCTGGTTCTTACTAAAATAGATACTACTTCTGCAGGGTTGTAGCCTTTAACGATCGTACCAACTAGCGAAAAAAAACCACAAAAAAACATTCAAATAACATTAGCCTTAGCATTCAAATTAAAAGAAATAGCTGTTACAACACCATTTTTTTTCACAGGATTCTGTGTAAAAGTGTTGTTTAGCAACAAACCATAGTATATAATGTAGGACTGTGGCACAAACTATTGAATTAAAGAAAGACCAAGAGTATTGAAGAATAGCTTACTTTTCTCAAACAGGTCAATATCCCTTGTGACAAGAAGCAGAGGTGTGTAACCATCAGCATTACGACAATTTATGTCTAACATCTTGCTTTCACTCTGAAATCAAGAAAAAATATATAATTATTTTGTTGATTTGTGTGGATCCATGAAAACTGGGTGACAAATTTAGATACCTGTCACCATATATAAATGCAGTAACTATACCCTACCGTACATACTGTAGAACTATTTATTTTCACTGACATTTAATTTTACTATTTTGATGTTTTGAACATAATCACTGAGTTTTAATTTCACGAATTTGTCAAGAAAACAATGAGTTTTATTGTTAATTTACATGTTCACACAGATTTAATTTAGCGGATTTTACCTGTCAGCGAAAATAGCAAAATTACAGCCCAGTGATTAATTAATGCATTTACAGTACTTTTCATATATTTTCATTGAACAGTAAAAAATTAACAATAAGTAATTTGAATTAAAAATTTAATAACAACAGTGGTATTAAGAAATTTATATATCAGACAATAGTGAAGAGTTATTATGATAAAAATAATACTAATGTTGTCACATTGTTCCAACAGCGCCCCCTAGTGTTCAGTAATAACTACTCACCAAAAGTCTCCTGAGAACTTTGACATTCCCTTGCCATGCAGCTTGTAATAAATGTCGAGGGGTACAACCCGTTCTCTCAACAGAATCTAATAAAATATGTCTAATACTGTTTGACGCTACCTCCAAAGCACACTCGTTGTCATAGTTACGTAAAGTGATATCAGCACCATACTTTAATAATATCTGAACAATCTGAAACAAACAAAATGTACAAAATTTAATGTCAACATTTTGTTTTTGGTAAATGAAAAATAAAATAAGTACATGTAATAAGTAAAAGTGAAAAATCAACCTCAGTACCGGTAAAGTGGTGCTTTCCAACTGCATGTCACATGCTAACCTTGGAAATATCTTAGCAACCAAGAATTATTTGACCATTTAACACATATACTGAAGGCCTGTATGGTTTTGAGCAACTCCTTCTACATATAAGTACCGGTACTCAAAGATTCAAAGCAGCCTTGACTTTCAGACAATTACTCTAATCCCCAAACCTGCTTTACAATAGACTATCAGTGAAGCGTTAAATTTTCGCAGCTAGCAATCACTTGTTCATTTCGGGCATTAATTTGGGTCATATTATTGTGTAGTGCATGTGAATGGAACAAATAAGGTATGATTAAAAGAGTACAAAGCAATATAAAATGTGTAAAAGTGTGACTTTCCATCTATTGCTATAAAAACAGTATGTTGAAAAGCAACCAAACCAAAAACTATTACTAAAGTTAAATTCAACTGAACTGACTAATTTAAACTATAACTTAACAAAACTAAACTAAAACAACAATACTAATACTAAACTAAATTGCAACTGGTAACTAAATTAAAGTATAAATGATAAGGCTCCATATTTCATAATCCACCTATAAATATGATAGTGGTTTTATCAATTGTTTAGTTATCCTTATAAATTAGTATTATTTTAAGCAGCTATACTTGACACAGGCACAACTGTTATGACACTATTGAGTTGATGCAAATTTTGTTGTTTAATAGGTCAGTGGTTTTGTGTCAATATTTCAACCAATAATACAATACAAAATCTTGATTTATGAATTTATATAATGACTGTAAAAGATAAGCAAGGTATGAACCCAGTTGCATATACTACTGTACGAATAGGATGTGTGTATGGATGGGGAAGAATGTTTTACTGTGTAAAGTACAGGTGAAAATGGAACTTTACAGTTAATTTCATTGTTAAATCAAGAAGTTAGTAAATTCTCTCAATCATTGATTATAAGTAAGTGAGTCAAGGCTGCGCTAACCTCAAAAGTTGTCAGCAATTTGTATTTTTTAAAGGGGGCAGAGCAATTATAGTATAAGTGCTAGAGGCTTTGATAGTAGGTCAGTTCATGCATAGTGAACAAAACTTAGCAACCTTGACACACCAAAATGTATGTCATTGTCATTTAAAAAGAAATGCATTAGAAGAAAAGAATGAATCTAAAAATGAACAAGGACAAAATGAGGGTATACACGGGGCACCTGTAATGACAAATGAACAAGGATTCTATTGTCATTTGGTTTTCAATGGTTCACGCTGCCAATCACCATATGTTAATAAGGAGAATCTGTAGCCATAGGCTGCTACATCAGCAGTATAAGAGAGACAGGGGTGTGGGAGGTTTATACCAGAAGACAAAGCCTGTTGAGACAGTTGCTGTGCATTCTACTGTTTGTACCCCTTCGTAAAAAATGAGAAACTGGATCTGCACAGTGTCAGAGATCAAAGACTACAACGACAAAATGTAAATGAGTGGAATTCACGCATGCATGACTGCGAGGTGATTCAGAGTTCAATTCGTGTATGACGACGCTCTTACTTTGTACAAGATTAAAGTTTTCAAATTTCCCTAAATGTCAAATTATTGCGATGTTTAGAACTTTGGCTATTACTGTACATTTGTGGTTTTGTTTTCAGACACAACCAGGACACCATCTGATTATATTTAGAACAACAGATTTAACTTTTAAAAGTACTTACTTTTGTATGTCCTCGCTTGGCTGCCCATATTATTGGAGTGTTACCTGTTCTTTCATCTTTACCATCTATGTTTATATACTGAGAAATAAAGACAATGGTTGAAGATATGTCATAAATCAAAAAGAAATGGATTCGTTTGTTTTTATTGTGTGTTTTGGTAAGAGGAGAGCTACCAGTTGAACATACTACATCTCAAAACATATTTACATGCATTATATATGACTGGACTTTTTTTTAGAAAGGGTTGATGAATTAGAGGGCATACTGTGATTTAATCACTGTGACTCTTTGTGATTCTAGTGAAAGTCACTGTGACACACTAGAACCCCAATGAAATTCACTGTGACTCCCTAGTTCCCCAGTAAAATTCAATGTGACTTACAATGTACTGTACTGTCAATAGTTCCTAAAAGAAAATCGTGTGGTTTCAATAATTCCCAAGTATTTGTCTCACAATTAAAGTGCTTTAATATGCCTTGCATATCAACAATGATGTTGATGCATAAAATATACCTCTCACCTCTTGGCTCATTCGATGTAGAAATTCTGAAACTTTTTCATAATTTCCATCCCTAGCAGCCATTAGGAACTGCGTGTCCGTATCCGGTGTTTTCCCGTCATGGAATAAATGAGCAGCTAAGTCATGGTATGATTTCAGTAATTCCTTGTTTTTGTGTGAGCCATTGGAACTAGCACTTGACCCTCTACTATGACCAGAACCAGATGTGGGGCGGCCTTCTGTAAATTGACAAAAAAAATATCCCTGGGTATGACAACACACTGATTGATATTTTATTGAATTCCAAACCAATCCACCCATACAGTCAAAAGATACAGAATCTAAAATATGATACTTGATTGTTCTTGCATTAAAATGAATACAATACTTTTGTAAAAACATGGCAAAACTATCTTAAACGATTTCATGAGTTATGAAATGACTCTGGAATGACACACAATCGGTCAATTTACAAGCATTTTTAATGAGGGTTCAATATGGTATCCATGCAATGTACTAGTATACAACAACACATTGTTTGTTTATTTGTTTGTTTGTTTACAAAAAACAAAAATTTTAAAGCACACTTGTATTTTAGTATTTTGTTGTTCAATGCATACTTGTATATGTAGTAAATGTAGGAATTGTTTCATCATGGAAAAAACAATTTGAAAAAAAAAATATTTCAATGCTTCAGTGCAGTGACTGCTCCTTTAACTAAAATGGGCAAAAATTCTCACCTGTTTGAACTCGTAGTAATTCATCTGCCATGTTGGGCATATTTTGGTTTGTTTTCACCTTCTATGTAAATAATGTAAATAAAAACAGTTTTTGTGTGTCAGGTTGATGTCCATTTTCACCATTCCCTGCTATATATTACACAACCCATTAAAAATATCTGAAAAAAATAGAACAAATGAAATAAGTTAATAAGTTGTTCAAGAACAAAAAAGTAATGAAAAACTACAAAATTAACATAATTTGTTCAAGATGAATACATTCCACACATTCACTGTGATTTAATCCTGATAGAAGAAACTATGTAGTGAACAAATTGACAATTTTTTTCCAATCTACTGAAATGGTTATGATATAGGCAAGGTGAAATTGACAATACATGGACTTTAAGACATATGGGCATATGAATAAAACAAATTTGAACCATAGCATTCACAAGCATACATTAATAAGATAGAAAAATGTTCTACAACCATGGCTGACAAGCAACATGGCACAGATATATGAAATCAAAAAAGTACAATAGTTGTTGAGAAACAATAAGAACAAAAGAAAAGCACAATAGAACGCAATAACCAATGTAACTGGCAACATTGTACTCAGAAGTACATTATGCAAATAACATCCATTGTACAATCATTTCAGGTGAATAGCTCCACTTTATGAACCCGGAAGTCAAGGTTGTGATGGAATAATAGCACAGTTCTACAATTATTTCCCCATTTTTCAACAATCAGTGAGAAAGAAACTAATTGGGAAAAGGGGAGGTTGGTGGTCCAGACAAGGAAGGCATCAGACATTGTCGTTTTCGATAATTGGAAAATGGTAAGCAGGCACTCATGAAGTCGTATTGTACAATTTACAACCTTCAGTATCAGGAT